GGATAAAGAGGGAAAGAAAGACCTCGTTTTGACCCAGTTTTATTTGTCAGGGATCATCTGAAACATTAGTTCTCTTATATATCAAGTAAACAGTATCAGCTTCTGAGCTATAGTTCACCAAACACCTCAAACTACCATGTTATGGCTACAACTATTTTGTATACATCAGACTTTTTACTTTGTCTCCCTACATTTGAACACAAATATCTATACTTTCTATTCCCTCCTTTTTTAAAACAGGCTCGTTATTTTCATTTTAACGCATTTTAGGAGAATTATCTGTTGTGTATATAATAAATTACATACTTTTTTAAATGTTATTTGAAGTAAGTTAAATAGTTTTGGAACTATATAATTGCAACACAAGTCTCAGTTTGCTTTGCACAGATACATCGAGTAGTAATATACTTTAAGTGTGTTTCAGAGCATGTAATTTTATACTTCATCCGTTTTTAGTATCTGTACTTTTGTTTGAGTAAAGTAAATGTTTGTACTTATACCACCTTTGCCTTTTAGTCATAATTAATATAAATCAATATGCCTGTCCCCCTTTTCTACTTAGATAACACAAGAAATAGGGTCCATCCTTCAGTTACTGCTCCCACTGACCCAGGATCCGAGCAGCTCAGCAGGATCAGATTTCCTGGATCAACAGGAGGATCTGCAGGCCGTGCTGCTCCGGCTGAAGGGAGTGGCCCAAACCCTGGTGCAGCGATCCAGCCCTCAGGTGGGTGAGAGACACGAAATGAGCAAGTGGGGAGGGTTGACCTTATTGTTTGAAACAAGAGGCGGATCTGAGTTTTTGAGCCATTTGTCATTGCACTTCATAAATGTTTAAGTGTAAAACCCCCTGCTCTAAAGTCTAATGCATAGTGCTCTCATACTCTTACATAGTCTTATTAATGGGATCCAGATCTGTAAAGCAGCCTCCTCACATCACACAGCCATACATTTATTCAGTTACCCTATCTGCCCCCCAGTGGCTGTCAATGGTCCTATAGTGTCTTCACTGTGAACCATGCTGAGTTACAGTGCAACTTTGTTTATCCACAGAATGCCATTGAATTGTTGCCATTGTCAGCTTTGCTAAACCTGACAATGGCAGATTGTCGTGACCGAGCGTGTACAGCTGTCCAGTTGTGTCTCATAGCGTATATAGACCAGTCAGACCAGTAACACACATGCATCTGTAACTAAATATCCCTGCCCAGCCACTTCCTCCCTTGGGGCAACATGCAAATAGGCCACAGAAACTTGCTTTTGGTGTAATGCACAACTGACACACGATCTTTTTGGTAATGTCTCCGTTTCAGGAGCTGAATCTGGCTTTTGTCGACAGGACGGCTGATCAGTGTGGGAATAGGAGTGAGGCACAGGAGCTGAGGGATCAGGTAACCCAGTGTTGAACAAACACTTCTGTCAGGGAGGAGCAGCACCTGTGGCTGCTCCATTATTTTAGGATTTGGCTCTGCCGGTACTGACCTTGTTACTGTCACTGTAATCCATCTTATTGCCATGTGTAGATACAGATATGGGAGCCTTTTTTGACACAAGGTTACATTGTCTGCTGCAACATTTAATTCACATAAATGAAATAATATACTGCATCACTTGTAGAGGTCTGTAAGGTTTAGAAGAAGTTAGTTATCATAAGTGTGTGGCTGAGCCAAGTTCACGAATTACATCAAAGTGTCTTTAGTTTTTATTTTATTATGAATTGTAAATTGCAACACAAGTCATGTTGCTTTAGTGCAGCAATCATTTAGCATTGCTTTGAGTGCAACATCAATGTCATCTGTATTGTGCTTTAGGCAAAGAGTGTTTTGAACAGTGGTGTAATCACTGCCCATGTGATCCTTCTCCTGCAGAATGTCGAGCTGCAGCAGGAAAACACTGAGCTGAAACAGAAGCTGCTGAATGTCCAGGAACAAGGTGAAGTTGTTGGACAGGCCATCAGAGACCGAGATGAAGCCATAGCCAAGTGAGAAACTCATTATTTCTGATACCATCACTGTCATTTATAATTTCAAATATATCTCACATTCCATCATAAATCGAATCAGTCAGATATATGCAAATTAGTGTGTATGTATATAAAAATATACTGTATATAAAGAGGTTTCTTTAATTTCTTCATAGGAAAATCCTGATGGAGGGGGAGTTGGTGCGAAGTAAAAACGACATGATGTCTCTGAACAACCAGTTATTAGAAGCCATCCAACGTAAACTGGAACTGTCGCAGGAGCTGGAGGCCTGGCAGGTGGGCTACATGTTTCTCTGTTAATGCTTTTTTCCATTCTCATCCAGTCTACATTATCCTACAGCTCCCTTTATGCTGTCGTTTTATCACTCCATCTCACTGTCCTACTTTATGAAACATTTGATCGATATATGTGATTTACAATTTTAAATTGTAAAACCACTGAGGTCTGCTGTGTGCACTGCTAGTGATGACAGACACGAGAGGGATGGATCTCATTGTGAGTGTCATCAGTAGAAGGTCAGGGACATACGCAGCCATATTCCTCTCAATCTCTTGTTAGTCTCAAAGGTTATGAATGGTACGTGTCTCTGTCCATTAGATCCTTCTGCTGATGGGGCACTGTACCAAGCCAAGCTATCGAATGGAGGGTCTGACCTCACCTATGAATGTTATCAAAAAGAAAAGCCAAAATCTATGGATGCAGTATAGGTCATAAATCCTGCCTGCTGCATATGAGTTGTTGGCCCTCAGACCTCCTGCTCATCCCTTCTTTACCTCCACCTCTCCACAGGATGACATCCAGATCATCATCAACCAGCAGCTGAGGAACCAGCAGCAGTCGGAGCAGCCTCAGAAGAAACCAGCCTCCAACAGCATGTCATTCTTCCGGAGGCCCAGCAGGGTGGCCTCCACCTGGACCGGCCAACCCACTTCCTCCTTATCCTCAACCTGGAGTTCAGACATTAATCAGGACAAACCCCAATCCCCCTGGAGGGACTGGTTAAGACGTGGGAAAGGAGCGCAGTATGGCAAATAATGGACGCTGAGTATGAGGGGACAGAGGGACGTCACAGCTGAACTGATTATGTTTGGTGCTAAAGAGCCATAAAACACTATTGATTCAGTGATGAACAACAGAGCCACACTGGACTTGTCAAACAGACACTGACTGAAAGACATTTTACTGATAGGCTGAGCCTTCATAAAACCTAAAATGAGACAACCTGCAGCACTGTCATGTTCACAGAATCACGCTCCAAGGTTTGCTTGAGATTGTAAATATTGTGCCTTATTTTGTATTAATGTGAATGTCTTTCTGTCTGAGACTTTATATGATATACTGTGCATAATACTGTAGATATAGACAGTTAGAAAGTATTTGGATTATTTAATGTAACAGAACAAAGAAAAAAAGAATTAATGTCAGGAAATAAATGATAAAGATTTCATTTGTTAAAAAAAGTTAAGATGTTAGTATAAAAATGTTGATTGTTTAAAAAACATTGTATTATGTCTACTGAGAACGCTGTTTTTCTATAATTTTGTTTCTTTTTTGTTTTCATGTGTGTATGTAGCAGACGCATGTACTGTATGTGTGTGTTCTGTGACTCAGTGTTCACTATTGAAGCTGCTTAATTCAAACTGTGTTGTTTCCTAAGTTGTGGAATGATTTGCCAGAAAATTTCATAAAGAACAAATATTCCTGTCAGATATTTGGGTCCCGGAGTCTTTGTGTTCAGAATAATAGCATAAACTGACAACGGATGAATTAGACAAGTAACAAGAAGCGTCTACAGCAAATTATAGCTGACAATGCACAAACTCCATTTTGGAAAACAAAATGCATTTCAAGATACTTTGACCAATCTCCCCTGTGTTTTACAATGTGTCTTTCTGGAGCCGTCTGATTTCTTTCTCAATTTGTTCAACAGCCTCATTCATTTGTTGTTTGATTGTGACTTCACATTTTATCTAATGCTCATACTAGGATAGGAAATGCGTATAAATATGTGGAAAGTGAGTTCGGTTGCAGTATGGAAAAAAAGTTGCATGATAGACAGCCAAGCAATGACATCATCATATTGCACACGTCACTGACAACAGTAACTTAGTCAAAGCAAAACATAAAATGTTTAAAAGGAGAAAACCATATTGTCCAATTACAAAACAATTTTGCAAACAAATTAATTTGTACTCTAAGTCATAATACATATTCCATTTAAAAATTAGAGTATTATTCCAGCTTTGAATAAAACCTTTTCTTTTATTGATGTGATACACACTCTGGCCACTTCATCAGACAGCTGAAATAATGGTGGGCTGCTGCCCTCTGCTGTCCAAGCTTGTGGTGTGGCAGGTTTGCTTCATAGTAGTTGACATAATTTGATGAACCTAATCAATAGTGACTCCATAGATTCAATGTCATATATCCTGTTATTGGAGACAATGCAAAAAAAAGGCTTTTAATTAGCAAAAACAACACACAGTTCTTTTTGTCAGTGATTGATTGATTGTGCAGTGTATGAAATGCTCATCACATAGTTGGAGTGCATATCAGTCAAAATTGAAAACTGCAACTTGAAATATTAAAATTTCTGTTATTCCATTTTGGGATTTTTGCTATAGAATTTACTAGAAGGAATAATTAAGCAATTACTGCCGTTTCATTTTCTGTCAATCTATTGATGAGCTATTTAAACTAGAGATAACAGGTTGGTTTGTGGCTGTTAACAACACATGGCCTGAGAGGTTAATCCATGATGCATTTTAAACTAAAAAGGTCAAACGTAAGTTCTCCCAACAATAGCACTTTCCTTCATCTTTCTATGAAACAGTTAATGATATTCAATATGAAACAGTCTAGTGGGGATCATTATATTATTTACTATTTATACAGCTGTGACGTTGAATCCTGTCTTGTTTTATCTCTAAAACACTTTTCCACGATTTATCTTTTTTTTAAAGAAAAAAAAGTTGCCCAGCAGAGATGGTGCTCCGTCTCAGTTTGATGACGTAGATGATTTCTGTTTACTAAGGAACTCCCTCTGGTTTCGAAGGAACCATTTGTTTAAACCTCAAACACACGTTTCTTCTCTTCAAACAGGTACGACATCAGCCTCTAGCGTTTCTGTTCGTTGTGTGAACTGGTCGGAGATGAGATTAACGTAACAGTTTGTTAATTCGATGCTGAAATGGAGCCGTGGTTGACCCCATGACAGCTTAGCTAGCTAGCTCGTCAGCTAACTAGCATCACGAGGCTAAAGCTGCGGTTTACAGCGGTTCGCAGGTGAAGTGACACCTGTGTAGCAGAGTCATGGAGGATTGTCAGGGAGCCAGGCCCGTAAAGAGACATTTGTAATCGGTGGGTGGTGTTGAACTGGTGGCTAACCGGGACAAGCTGCTGCAACGTGAAGCTAAAGCACCGAGCGAACGTCCCGGTGACCGGTACACACCGTCAGTGTGGTGACACAGCTCGGTGTCAAACTGTGCATGAGGATCAGCTTTGTTCGGGCTGATTGTGATGACAGAGGCTTTCTAGTCCCGTCAGAACTGGTTTCAGTGCCACTGTCTGATGAGGCAGCATTAAAAGGTTATAATCCCTAAATAACTGTTTTCTCGTGCCGTTCATTCATGCTTTATAATTTAGTTACAAGCCTTTAATATGGAGAACCTCCAGGTTTTTGGAAAGTCCTTCTGCAGCCTGACCCCAGGGAGACCCCCTCTCTTCCCTGGTCTGTTTGACCTCTTACCTACCTATAATGCTGGATGGATTACAAACTGACCAAACGCCACAGTTCTAATTGCAAAGTTGAATTTTGCACCTCTTTGTATACAACATCAACAGTGATGGGCCCTCCATCCCAGTCTTGTGTTGTGGACTGGTTTTTTCAAAGGACTCAGGTTTTAAAGCCTTAATTCTTTTTAGTTTTTATTGAGCTCATATGTTGCAAAGTTGTGCTTTTGTACCACATTTTCCACCACATTTTCTAGAACGAACAGGGATTTTTTTTATTTTATATGATGCACTCAGTTATTTTCATCAGTGGAACTGACAGTAATATTTGTATACATCGATTGATTGTTTAGTTTATTAAATACCAGATGACAGTGAACATTTTACATCAGTATTTTCTGAAGCCAAAGTGAACATAAGCCTATTGGGTTTTTTGTGTGCAACAGTCAAACTTACCAAAATGTGGAGTTTGCTGTCATATAAAATTTAGAAAAACTAGCAAATTGCTCATATTTTCCTTTTTGCATGTATATAACTTTAAAAAAACCCAGTTAATAGTCAATAATGTTGACAATAATCTCTTACTAATGCTGTTTATTAGCAAATTCACACTCAACATTTAACAGTGGTTTAATGATGGTTTATCAACATTTATAACTGCATTGTTACTGAAGAGAAATCAGAGACATGTTATTCTGAAAACTGACATGAGAGTTTTTATTCAAACAACAGAGTGGAAACATATTTAGCAGATCTCCTACAGTTAAGCTATAGTGTTAACATGTATCAACTATTGTTCAATCTGCTACATCCAACAGATGTCTTGTATGTAATCTGGTTAAGAAAAGTAACCAATCAAGGAGAATGTGCCACATTCTTGTGCATCTCTGTATCTATCAGCATTTTGGAGACGGTAGACAAGCTGGCTGAACCAGCAGTCAATACGGGAATTGTCACTTCTGTTACAGATTGGTGTAAAAAAATACACCAAAGTGTGGAGGTAGGGGAGTGGGCAGAAGAATGCTGCTTAAATATTTTTAGACTATATTGGACTGAGTACAGATTGTTGTAGCCAGACAGAAAGGAGGGTTGAACCCCTTCTAAAGCAACATTAGTGATACTGCCTAGTTTAATACATCAAAAACAGAAGAGGAACATGCATCCCCCCTACAAAAACAGACAGAGAATGACATTTATTATGATGCATTCTGATTTAAATTATAATCATGATTGTGATAAGCAATATTCAATGGTTGTCTGGAGACAAAAAGTTCAAGATAACCTGAATGAAGTGTTGATGATAAATGAAAGTAAGCTGTTAATGATCACATGCAGAAATTGGGCACTTTTTCATGTAATTGTAAGGTCGAGGTTGTAGTCATAGACTTGATACAGTCAGTGGTGTTGGTGATGATGATAATGGGACACTGATAGAAATGATAATTTCATTTATATGTGGTAAAATTGCTGCACATGTTTACTAATCCCATATCTGGTTATTATATGTCCAGCTCCTCTGTCGCTCATTTTTTCGTATGTGAATTGCTCCCTAAGGCTGGGATCTTGGATGGAGTGAGTGTTGAGCCCCAATGAGATGACTGACCAGGGCAACAACAACCAGAACATCTCCTGCAACCCCTTCGCTGCCCTCTTCAGCTCACTGGCTGATGCTAAACAGTTTGCATCAGGCCAGAAACCGGAACAGCAGTCCGCTGAACCACCACGTAAGACGAGTTATCTGATCTTTTCTTTTATTTTGAGTTAGTACAGGTCATACAAACACCTGAGTCAAGTTAATCCACATGGTTTCACACTTAAATCCTGTATCTGGTGTCACAGTGGAGGACTCGGGGGAGAGCCAATCGGACTCAGAAAACTCTGTGTCAGACAGCGTTGATGAAAATGACGACTCTGTGGCAGAGATCAGTCGCTCATTCCGGTCCCGCCAGGAGCTATGTGAACAGCTCAATGTCAATCACATGATCCAGCGCATATTTCTCATCACTCTGGACAACAGTAAGTAAAAGGAGAAAAATGATTTGGTATTAACTCATTAGGGAGGGTACAAGCTACCGTTTATTTTGGGTTATGACTGTGAACACTCATAGTTGTGTTATAGCTGTCTGAACACGTTAGACTGCATTCAGCTGACTAGAGTGTTCTGAATCAGTTCTGACCCTGTTACATCAGCAGCAAACAACTTTTAAATAGACTTTTGTGTTAATCCTTGCTTCCATCTGTAAAGAACAGTAGACAGACACACAGGGGCCTGACAGTGCTGTGTTCTGTGGTGTTGGTGGTAGTTGCTGTTCTTGAGAATCAAATTTGAAGTTTCCAGTAAATAACAAATGACTCACCACCTTTTAAGACAGAACAAAGCCCTCACACACTGTGAGATCTCCTAGTGAGTCGCTTGCATCTCTCTACCACTGTGCCTGCTTAAGAATGAATCATGATGTTAAGGAAATGCAGACTGAAAGCCCCTCAAGAGCCATTTCAATGAATTCCTCTTCCACCTCACTTTTGAATAAACCAGAGTAAAGGCAAGCTGTGCATTTAATCCCCCTAGGTTTATTTTATTCTATATTGGGCTTTTGATTTATTTCCAGTATTCATGATTTGTCTGGTTTAAGCTTCATGGGAAGTTGCATATATATTCCAAAAAAGCAGACTTTATTTTATAAACTCTGATTCTATATTCAACCCCAGGTGATCCCAGTCTGAGAGGAGGTAATGGGATCCCCCCTCGCTGTGTATACCTGGAGGAGATGGCTGCAGATCTGGATGGACAGGACTGGCTGGACATGGACAACATAGAGCAGGTCAGATGTCAACAACGCGTTTTTTTGACACCACGCTTTAGTTGCCACGTCTTGTTTCTCTCCTCTCAATGAACATGTTACACAGTCTGATTTGTATCTGTGATGTTTTCCTCTGTCCCTCAGGCTCTGTTTAACCGCCTGCTGCTGCTAGAGCCAGGAAACCACCTCATCTACATGACGTCATGCAGTGCCGTGAATCTCTCTGCTGACCGTGACGCTGGAGAGAAATGTGCCATCCCTTACCTTTTTGCTTGTTACCAGAGAGCCAAAGAAGAGGTGCAAGATTTTTCTACGTCACTGTATATGTATTACTAAAACACTCAACTGTTTTTAGACTAGTTGGAACAAATGTCTTGATTATCTGTCCCCCAGGTGACGAAGGTTCCAGAGAAGTTACTCTCGTTTGCTGTTCGTTGTAAGAATCTGACTGTTTCTAACACACGGACAGTTCTGCTCACCCCAGAGATCTACATCAGCCAGAATATCTACGAGCAACTCTTTGACCTGCTGCTGGAAGCTTTCAATGGAGCCCGTAGGTTTAGTATTGTTGACACTTTCCTTTCATCTGTTGCCTTTTTTCTCCCTCCCTTTTACTTTTGTCTTTGCGTTTTCTCTGTAAATACTTTTCTCCACTTAAAAAATCGTTGTGTTTCAGAGCCAGAAGAGGTGGTTGAGTTTGTGGAGGAGGCAATTGCTGGCCTGCTCTCTGACCAGGAGGTGCGGACCTTCGAGGAGGTGATAGTACCAGTGTTTGATATTTTCCAGGGACGCATCAAAGACATGGACCTCTGTCAGCCTCTCCTCTACTCCTACTTAGATGTTCTCCTGTACTTCAGCCACCATAAAGATATTGCTAAGGTCAGAGGACACACAGAGACATTATATCTGCAAATGTCATTGTAATGTTCTTTTTGGCAACAGATTACTACTTATAAATTAACATAAAATAATACACTGAAATCCCATAACATTTTACAGTGTTACCTAATATTATATGTCGGGCCCTATCTTTTCAAATCATTCCAAAGGTGACTCTTTTTTTTTTTTTTTCTCAGGTACTGATGGAATACATCCAGCCCAAAGATCCAGCCAATGGTTTGCAGTACCAGAAGAGTCTATTGGGGGCAGTGCTAAGTATATCCTGCTTGTTAAAAACCCCAGGTGTGGTGGAGGGACATGGCTATTTCCTGAACCCCTCCCGCTCTAGTGCCCAGGAGACAAAGGTCCAGGAGGCCAACATCCACCAGGTAAACAGAATGATTTTAATCAGCATTTTTGCTGCTAAACTACAATATTGTCTTTGGACTACAAACACATCGGGGCTGATTGTCTTTGCTGTTCTTATGTTACAGTTTATGGGCCAGTTTCATGACAAGCTGCACCAAATATTGAAAAACTTGCTCCAGAGATCTGGTGAGACGCGTCACCTCCTGCTCTCATGGCTGGGCAACTGTCTGCAGGCTAATGCTGGACGGGCAAAGATATGGGCCAACCAGATGCCAGAGATCTTCTTCCAGATGTATGCTTCAGATGCATTCTTTTTAAACTTGGGTGCTGCTCTCCTGAAGCTGTGCCAGCCTTTCTGCAGGCCTCGTTCGCCCAAACTGCTCACCTTCAACCCCACCTACTGCAGCCTCAAAGAGCTGAGCGAAGAAGAGAGGCGCAATCGCAATGTGCACGCAAAAGGTCAATATATGTGAATGATTGTCAAAAACACTTTTCCTGTTATCGTTTTAAATTTTGTTCTATTATACAGTAGCTTTTGTTTTTTATTTGCTTTTACAAGTAAGTTTATAGAAATCTTTTACTACACCTCTCTAAAGGCTTAAGATTTTCCAAGAGTACAACTAAAGGATCCCTTTCGTTCATTTCAGGTCTCGACAAGGAAACCTGTCTGATCCCTCTGCCCCCTCAACAGCCGGTGGAGTCGGCACAGTCCTACAGCCTGCTGACTGAAAACCTCATCCTCACACAACTCACACAGCATCTAGGCTTCCACAGGTACATACCAACATCTTCTATGATGCTAAAATAGCTCATTTAGACTTCAACTAAAGCCTTTACAGTGAAGCTGTATTTTTCTCATGTTTTCACCATGTTTCAGCATTAACCCTCTTTGTCTTGCTCTGTTCATGTCCATGCAAAATATCCGTGTCCAGACTCCATGAGCAGATGGTGAAGATGAACCAGTCTCTCCACCGGCTCAAGGTGACATGGCAGGAGGCCCAGCGGACTGGCAACCCGATGTCAGAGCAGCTCCTTGAGCAGTTTGAGCGTCTGATGATTGTGTATCTGTCAACCAAAGCTGCCACGACGCAGCCTGCTATGCTGCAATGCTGCCTTAATCTCCAAGCTTCCACCGCTGCTCTGCTGGTTCAGCTTGGAATGGGAAACCAGGGGCCTGAACATGTAGCACTCAGTTTCCCCCTGCCCTCAATGCAGAATACTGTGCTCTGCTACGTACCAGGTAGGTCAGATCATCCACTGCACAATACAGAGTCACAGAAAAAAACCTTTTTGGTTTGACAGAATGACCCAATGAGATCAGAGGAGTTTCTCTGGAATTCTCTCCATCTAAAGTTGGATCAGGATTATTCACTTTTTTACCTCCTAAATTGGAACCTGTGATACAGTGTGTGTCATATGCTCCATCTGGCCTCACAATAATTTTGATTTAACAGCATTTTGGTAGCAATTTAAATGTCTTTCTAATTGTCAAATTTCACTTTTAATTTTGTTTGAGTTCATAGGCACAATGGCACAGGTGTCTGTAAGTTAATATAGTTAAAATACTTTTGGTCCTGCTATTTAAATCTCTAACACTGGCTTATATACAGCTGATACCAATGCTGAACCCTTCTTAACATGACAGTCATTGCTAAAGTGCATCTTTGTTTGTTTGTCAGAGTTTTTTGCAGAAAACTTGGGAGATTTTTTCATCTTTCTGCGGCGATTTGCAGACGATGTTTTGGAGACTTCTGCAGAAAGTCTGGAGCAGATTCTCAACTTCATCACTGTCTTCATGGGTAATGTGGAAAGGTATGTTTTTTCTCTTATATAAAAAAAATCATGACTGCGATTGTCATTAGTTGTCTGTTGAACTAAAAGGAAGAGTTGTGAGAGCTCATCTAGTTCTGATCCTTATAAAATGTTCAGATAATGATCAAATCCCCTTTGTCGTGTTCCTCCAACAGGATGAAGAACCCACACTTAAGAGCAAAGCTTGCGGAGGTCTTAGAGGCGGTGATGCCACACATGGAGCCTGTGTCTCCTAGTGCTGCTCAGCCAATCCTGTTCCAGCGAGAGAGAGTCTTCTGTTCCTACAAATATGCACCTCAGCTGGCCGAGGCCCTCATCACTGTGTTTGTAGACATTGAATTCACAGGTGAATCCGTTGTATTCCTCACAGGTTTTTTACTTGCTAGTGTTATAGATGGAGATGCCACTGAACTTGTAAAAGAGAAGTATTATTTTCATCCATAGACCGAACAGAAGCTGTTACAAGTATGCACACTTGAAAAGAGTCAAAAGAATCTGCTTAAAGGCATTAATGGTATTATTCTGAAGACTGATTCCAGTCAAGTGGAACTGTTCAGAGGTTGGACTGTGTGTGCACACCTTTGTGTGTTTTACAGAGCAAGATAAGGAGAGGAGCTGGGTTAAGTGACAACAAATAGAAGGCATCATTGAAGCATGTTGATTTTATTTATTTTCCTCATTCTATTTCAGGTGATCCTCATCAGTTTGAGCAGAAATTCAACTACAGAAGGCCCATGTATCCCATCCTCAAGTACATGTGGGGCAAAGATAGCTATAGAGAGAGCATCAAGGTAATGAGGTATCAGTGTTTTTAACAGCCTGTTTAGAAGTTTAGATGATGATATGTATTTTTGCCTCATGACAAGATGTTCATTGGTTTGAATCTATTTCTGTGTGACTTCTTTATGAGTTGGTGGCTGACGAAATAATATTGTTTGCTGTTCCAATAGTGAGACACTGTAAACTCTTCAAATACCTTTCTATCAAGGATATTCTCTCTATTCACTCACCACTAATAGCTTATTAACAGGTTCCATAAACATACTGTCCTGAACAGTATTGCTATTAGATGAAAACTGTCACTATTACCACATCTCAGCCAAATAGTGTTCAGGTGTGAGAAGAGTAGTAAAGGACATGAAAAGTCAAAAGGTGTAAAATGTCACAGAATTTATATGAATGAACATTGATCCCACCATGTGCTCTTCATTTTATTTGTTATCTCTCGTTTCAGCATTTAGCCGACTATGCATCTGAGAACCTGGAGGCCATGAACCCCCCTCTGTTCCTAAGGTTCCTAAACTTACTGATGAATGATGCCATCTTCCTGCTAGATGAGGCTATTCAGGTGAGTTCACAAAGTTCACTGCACATTCACCTTTTTTTGTCTGAAGTGGTGATGCTTATTATTTAGTTGGTGGTAAATTCTATTTTCAAATTAGCAGAAATCTCAAAATACTGCTCCCAGTCATGCACAGATTTTGTCCTTTTGAAGCAATATGGAAATATAAAATTGTTAGTTTCAATTTATTTAAATCCCTAGCAATAGTGTATATATTATCTTTAAGACTTTTACTCTCTACTACTACTTTTTTCATGATCTTAATAAAATTGAATTCTTTCCTCACAGTACCTGAGTAAAATCAAAGTTCTGCAGCTGGAGCGGGATCGAGGGGAGTGGGAAGGCCTGGCCCCCGATGCTAGAAGAGAGAAAGAGTCAAGCCTGCAGATGTTTGGACAGCTGGGACGCTTCCACAACATCATGTCCAATGAGACCATCGGCACACTGGCCTTTCTCACCTCAGGTAAGGCTGAAAAGATTTTTCTATGTAACTGTGTGTATTGATGAATCATTATCTTCATCCATCCACGTTTGTTTTCCTTTTTGCTGATTCCCTCTCCAGATATCAAGGGGATATTTGTGCACCCCTTCCTGGCTGAGAGGATCATTTCCATGCTGAACTACTTCCTCCAGCACCTGGTGGGTCCTAAGATGGGCGCCCTTAAAGTCAAGGACTTCAGTGAGTTCGACTTCAAGCCCCAGCAGCTTGTTTCTGATATCTGCACCATCTACCTGAACCTGGGGTATGTTGTCACACCCAACATTTACATGAATACACATAAGAAACAGAAAAAAAAAAGCAGTCTTTGTTTATTATAATTCTATTCCTTGTATAGTATTTTTATTGGTGCTACAATATCTGGAAGATAGATATAGTGGCACATTGCTGACTACATGCTACAAAACAAACTGTTGTGATCACTTATTAAAAAACATGTTTTTGTCCTTGGCAGTGATGAGGAGAATTTCTGTGCTACAGTCCCAAAGGATGGCCGGTCGTACTCTCCTACCCTCTTTTCACAGACTGTTAGGGTACTGAAGAAGATCAACAAACCTGGTGAAATGATTGTTGGTTTTGGACTTATTGCTGATAAAATAAAGGTATGATTTGATTTGGTAAAATGTTGATAATAAGAGCATGTTTTCATCTTTTACAAATATTTCTCCTTTGAATCTGTACTGATTAATATTGACATACTGTAGTAGAAGAGTTTTAAAATTTGTACAACCGCAAGGTGTTGATTAAAACAAGTGTCTTTGCCATTTCATCTCTGTTTTAGTCCCATGCAGACAGGCAGCAGCAGGAAGAGGAGACCTATTCAGATGCTCCAGATGAGTTCTTAGACCCCATCATGTCCACTCTGATGCTGGATCCTGTTCTTCTCCCCTCATCCAACGTAACAGTTGATCGCTCAACTATAGCAAGGCATCTCCTTAGGTAAGTCACTTCCTACAATGCCCAGAAATTCCCAGACACCGGTCTTCATTGTTATCTGTCTCATTGCTATGACTGTAGAATCAGAACTCAAACTTGGGAGCATAATGTTCAAATAAAAGCTTGGTGTGCAGGAGTCAAATGAATTATTTATTGCTTATGTCCTCCTTGCAGTGACCAGACAGACCCTTTCAACCGCAGTCCTCTAACCATGGACCAGATCAGGCCAAACGAGGAACTCAAACAGCAGATTTTACAGTGGCTGGATAAGCATAAGCAGGAGAGGCTGCAGCTGGGACCCAGTGGCTAGCTGTGATCCCTAGCTGTGACAAACAATGACTGCATCCTTCTTTTCTTTCCTGGCCCACATCTCATGTGCTCCTCTGCTTTCTTGGCTAATCCACTGTGTGCTCTCCTCTGTGGAGTTTTTCTGAATCCTCCAATCCCACTAATGTTGCATTAGGCTTTTCATGCAGCCTTCATCCTCAGTGGATTCTCTCTGTGACAACAGTCCAGACAAACTGTAGCGCACAAGTTGGTGGTAACTTCAGAATCCATGCACAGCAGCTGACTCCATTGACTCCAAACATTAGCTGGGGTGATATCACCTCTGGTTCCTTTCCCTCCTGAACACTGTGTATTGATTAGTTATTATTACAGTAAGAGCTGTGGCCAGACGTATCAGATTCAACAAAACTTGTTGAAGGTACTGAATGAACTCCTGCCTGAGCAGCTGGCCAAAACAAGGTTTTATACTGCAAGGTGAGTATTTTTGGGATCTCATGAGGCAGAAGATGGCTGGAGTCATATATGATTTAACCTTGATTTCACCTTCATGAAGAATACATGATACACTGCCTTTCAAAGGTTTTGAACACCCTATATTTTAGCAGTTTTGGTTTAATCTTAAGCAGCAATAAAAATAGAATTAGTCACTAAAATTAAAGTAAAGTAAGTACTTTAAAAAAAAAAACTGAATTCTGTGGGACATAATTTATCGAAAAATAACCTATATTTATCTAAACCTAACCAAACCTGTAACACAAAAAAATTTGTATTTGAACATGTATACATGTAGGTATTTAATTTTTCAGGTGCACCTGCACTGTCTTAGTGAGGATGTGAGAGTTTGAACATTTGAGGGTGAGGTTGAACATTTCATTTACTGTACAATAATTATTCTAATTTGATCAATACTTTAGGATGTAGCACATGTAAAACACTCTACCCAAGTTCTCCAGAATGGAAAATAAAATTGCTTAATTGTTGAACAAAGATATACATATGGCACAGATGTTCACTTCCCTAAAGCAATTTTACATCCTCGTAAAAAACTATTTTGCTTATTTGAAAGAGTAATGGCTTTTATTTGCTGTTGGATAATAGTGAGAGGATAAGATATATTTTAGCACAGCAGGTTTGAGAATGGAAAAAGTTCTAGATCACGCTGACATCAATATGGACCTTGGTTAACTAATCATTATGCACTGAATACCACTGTGTAAATGGAATTTGTGTGCAATTTTCACTGCAACAACATGGTGGTGATTCTGGAAATGTCACTGAATTTCTCCTATAAATCTGAGGTGAAAGGTTAGCCAAGCGGCGGCAAAAAAACAGTGCTGATTTGTCACGTCCCTATCGAGACAGAGCTGAGTGGCTTCTCAGGTGAACGTGTCCTAAATCAGATCTTATTACTATTTTTAATAGAATCAAAAATCACAATATTATCCCCATCATCTGCACATATTCATTTTATTATCTTGCAATTAACCATATTTCTTGATACTGGACCAAAAAAGCAAGAATATAGGGTTCATATTTTTGACTGGCGGTCATTGTCATGCTTTGAATTACCATCACCGGGTTATAAGTGATGCTGAACCGAGTTGTGAGTGTGAATGCATAGTGAAATAGCGAGTGGCTAAACAGCTGATCAATAGAACTGGTGCCTAAAACCAAGAGCCTTGCAGTAAGTGTAAGCGAAGGAGGATCTGAATTGTTTCACACTTTAAAGAGACATAATTTGTCAGAGTTTGATTCAGTGAGGCATATGGGGAGCTGAGGTTGAAAATGAACGTAAATCAGAAAGGAAACTTGTTTTTGAGAAGATTTTTGAATTAAAAGGGTTTTAATTCAGATTTAAGTGTGGTTGTATAAAATGGGAAACTGTGATTGATGTACACAAAGCTGTATTCGCTGGCATGCCCTCATACTGTATGTTGAATATCTACCATCTGAAGGATTACTTGGGTTAAATTATAATGCAATA